TCCAAGGCAAAAAAAGGTTTAAATCTGAAATACATCATTATAAATCTTATAAGCCATATGCATTTTAGTCATTGAAGATAAACCCACGCCCTGACAGGGCATTTTTCATAACACGGCCTGGCAGGGGGGGAGGGTCGATGCGACCCCCCACCCCTCGCGATTGGCTCCTATGACACCTAGAAACACCAAATTTAGTAGGTAGGTGAGCTTCCTAGATTTCTCGCCCCTGTGCAAATTTGGTTGCTCTAGATCAATATTTAGGGGGGCTTTGGGGTGTATAAATGTAAAAATGTCGCTAAAAACAGGTCAAACGTTTTTCGCTTATAACTTTTGATCTAATTAAGATAAAGAAAAAAGAAAAGCACCAGTGACCTCAGCGCGTCAAGGCGCGTCGAATATGCTTTTTGCTTGCTTAAGTGTGCTTAAAGTTTTTCTTAATTTTTAAGTAAACTTTAATTAATTAATCAAGTTCAAGTAAACCAAATTCAAATTGCATCATATCGCATATCATTCGATTCAGCTGATCACAAGGAACACAATGACACCATTTTTAAGCTCTAGCGTCATTATGTGCCAAGTTATTGGCAAAAACGTTATTTGACCTCAGTTGACCTCATTTGACCTGACCCATGGATAAGTACACCAAACAAAGAAGCACCAAGTGACCTGCTGTTAAGTACAGTGGTTTCAAAGCACAAAAGTGATAGAACGAAGCGGATATCTCCAGTATTTTCCGAATTTAGTATTTTCCCATAGGCTTAACATTACGACGTAATGACCTCTAGGTAACTGACCTCAGGTCAGTGACATAAAAAAACGAACTATATGTTATACAACTCGGTGAACTTAGCACATCCTGAAAGTTTGAAGGAAATCAGTCAAAAACTGTGAGTTGGACGGGTGCAAAAAGAAAATTGAAAATTGATCATGACCTTGTAGGTACCGGTTTCTCTGACCTGGCTACCTGACCCAAGGTCACCCGGACCTGAAATTTTCAGGTCATATGTAAAAAGGTTGCCCCATAGGCTGTGGCAAATCTGAGCGCCGCCGTTTTTACACTATCTTCGAAAAACCTTACGGGGGTCGTATCGACCCCCCCCCCCCCCCTGCCAGGGCGAGGGTTAAGGTTTCGGTATTTTACATACCTGAGCTGATTTTATTCATAAGGAAATAACTTCTCTGTGTATCGATAATTGACTGTATGATATGGTTCTTACTCAATATTGTCTCCTCCGTTTCAGACATGTACACGGTGCTGATCGTGCTGCTGATCTACTTTGTGGGCTCCTCGCTGACCGCTCTGATGCTGATCAGCGGCGTATACCAGGTAAGTGGCAGGTCATTGCAGGTCAACGGGCCACTTGTGGTGAGTATTGGTTCATTGGGCCGTTACTGTAGAACTTATGATGTCGCTAAACAGGATAATCACTGGGCAATGGACGTGATTAACTCTGAATGACAGCACACCTTAGGTCACTGAAAGAGCTCCTGACTCCTGAGCATTACTTATTATGCATTATGCATTATGCAACGAGCTTGGTTTTAGACAAAATACCAACGCATGTTGTGCAATGAAAATATTTATCTTTGCCACCTTCATGGGCTTCTAATAACCAGATTAGAGTAACCGTTATAATCGTTCCGTGCCGATTTGACAACATCCATGCTCTAAGTTAACCCTGCCTTGTCTATCTTGCCAGAACTGGTTTAAAACTTGCCAGAACTGACACAGCTCCGCGTTTCCACTCGGCAGAGTATGCGCTGCCTGATGCTGCCCTGACAGTTGTGAAACGCATTCCACTCTGACAAAACTGACACCCCCGTTTGTATCCCTTCAGAGTATGCGCTGCCTGATGCTGCCCTGGCTGACCGTGGTGCTGCTCCGCCTGCTGACCGTCACCATCTGCGTCGGCATGTTCTTCTACATGGCCGGCGGAGTGCCCGACAGCAGGTCCAAGGAGCGGCTCGTCATGTCCGGCCTGGGAATCATCCCAGAGATCGGTGAGGTTTTGAGAGATTGGATGTTATTGGTGCCAATGCTGAGTAAGCATGAAAAAGTAATAAGTTTATGTACTATAAGAGTAAAAAGCAGATTTGTCTGATTATCATAGGACTTTTAAACCGCTAAGTACTACAGGGTGGGGCAGCATAATCGGGAATGCTTTTTGGGCTCTGGTCATGAGTAGGCATGGCATTATTTTGATAAATTATATCATGGCAATGAAACGCCCAAAAGTTGTGCATCATCTGACATGACTACATCCATGAGCATGCAACTTCCTGGAAAAGAGCAGCAAAATAGTTCGACGGTGCTCCAAGTGCTTTGCGCGCGCCCATAGACACTAATGTTAAACGAGTAAAACAAGAACATTTTGTTTAAAACAATGCCATTCCACGTAAAGGTTGCTGGACAGGTCAACGTGTTATCACGGACGATAAGGATTGTGTGGGGATACTTAGGACAAAAAGTTAACGTAATCGTCGTAAAATAACTCTTAGCAGAGGACATACAAGATGACTCACTTGAATATAAGGAAGAAGCTCTTAAGCATATTAAAAAGAAACAATGTTCAAAACTTCAGCGACCAAAAATCTTATCACCGACTGGAATACGATAAAAAAGAATGGCATGCCAAATACAGGATTGTATCGAGAATATTGCAGCGGTCATGCAAAGTAAACATCCTGTTGAGGTGATGGACCTATGGGTGGTCTTCAAGGGAGGTGCACGTGGTGCACCCTACTTCATCGAGCCCGGATAAAACGAGCACCTCTGGTAAATACATCCACACTCTGGCAGACTCACGTGGAGTCGTCGGAAGAGAGGATCACTGACGGTCCAGATCACGTCTTACGAGGACTCTGTCCGTGCTGGTACTGCAGTGAGGACGACATGTTATTGTGTAGGGCACCTCCACCTGAGATGAACCAAAAACTTCTGGTCCTTCAACTCCGCCGATTTAAATCCGACCAAATTCTTTATATGGAGCGTTTTTTGGTAGAAGTTTAATGAACAACTTATCATCAGTAAAAACGGTCTTCAGTGCAAGGTACGAAGCTGATGGGCGATCATGGACAAGCAGGAGGTTGCACGTGCATGCGCGTGCTTTTGGACCCGCCTTGAGAAGGTTATCGACGCGAAGGGCGGTCAAATAGGATGAGGGATAGGTAAAAGGTGACCGATTGATGGGATGTTGTTAAAATAGTGCTTGGAGCTATATTTTTAAATTCATGACCAAATAATCCCGTTTGATATTTATTCCCGATTATGCTGCCCCACCCTGTACGTTTATATATAGCCCTTCATTCTTATTGTTTTTTTTTTCGTTTATTTAGAAGCATTCTTATTGGTTAGATCATCGAAGCTCACTTGGTATCTCAGGGAGATTTATAGTACTATTTTCTGCTGTGTGTATCTAGCACCATTATAATAATCCTATGTACAGCCTTTATCAGTTGAGGTTACGCTGAGATGTCCTAGGTCACTCCCGACTCCCAGTCCCCAACGATATTCCACCCTCATTTTTAGCTGAAGTTTCTGGCCAGCCAAGCCATTCCTCACCGTTGCTTCTGGTCTGTTGCGTCATTGCTCGCCTCATTTCTGACCCGCTGCGTCATTTCTCGTCGCAGCTCTGACGATGTACGGGTGGCTCTGCGTGTTCAGCCACTACCATCACCTTCAGCTGATGGAAGAGCAAGTCGCCCCGATGCCAGAGGAAGAGCCCATCCAGGTGCTGACACCTGTTGGCGAGAACAAGTACTAGAGAGAAGCAGATGACGCTAGCTGTGGGTCCCGGCTCTGAGCTGGGTCTTCAGTTGACCTGACGTCCCTCGATCGAGAGAACGGGCTTTACTTAAAGTACCTGCTTTTCTTGCGGGACTAGCTGTGCCTTTAACATATTAACATGCCTATTGTGTTCGTAATGAGCCTATTACTTATATGTACGTTCTAAAAAACGTTAAAAACGGATATAGTAAATAGTTGTCCAACACTAGACTAACTGGGGTAACTACTTCGAAGACTGGAAACGAGTCTATGCCAATTTTAGCTTATACTATATTTAAGCAAGTGTTATTGACAACTATACTTGTATCTTCTTATTACTCGTGTTGTATATTTGTACCTCTTCTTACTATCGCATATGAAGATATGAAGTAGTCTATGCCTGCTTATAACTGCTTCGTCCACTTTCTCGCACATCAACCTTTACTGCCTTTATAAATGCTCCTTGTTCAATGTTAAAAGTAAACAATTAGATTGAACTCATTCAGGATGACACCTACAACTAACCAATTAGCCCGGGCGATGTGCGATAAATGCTCTGCTTACCGTTGGGGCTATCTGATTATCTATTGAAATAAAATGCACAGAAAACTTCGACAAAGCTTGTCACTGTGGCAAGATGGAAGTTACTGCATACGGGAAAAGGTGCATGGCGTAGATAAGAAGAACGAACCCACAGCAAGATGAGATAACATTACGATCGCATGCAATGACAAAACTACACCATGGATGAGATAGTACGTCTTTGGTGACCTGACCTGACTTTGACCTTTATGACATTGCATGCTATGCATCTTGTTTTGGTAGCTAAGAAGAAGTTTTAGGTGATCCATCTCAACCAATTCTTCGCCAACTGGGCTCCAAAGCCAGTAATGGAGAAACATGCCGTTTTTACCCTTGACCTGACCTTGATCTGCCCTGTGACCTCTTAGGGCAGAAAATTGTGCTCCAAAAGTCGGTCTTGTTGAGAGCTTTCGATTGCCGTTTTACCCGTCGTTCTATGACCATCTGTTCGGAAATTGGACAGGACACAACAGGGCCAGGAGTGCAAATTCTGCCCCTTCCCCTCCCACCCCCGGCGGCACGTATGGCTGAATAGCCCAGTTGTGCGCGGAGCTATGCACGCTACAAATGTCACGTTGCAAAGCCGCTGCAACCTCTACCACTCGCCGACACATGTTTGACGTCAGAAATGTCACCACTCAACCGGCCATAACATTTGATTTGGCTGTCAGGCCAGGAAGCCGGGGTGGAGCAGTTACTTTGCAGCAATTCTGCCGTGTGATAACATCCAAGAGAGTTGCAAAAAAAAAAACGGTCGGAATAGCGTTGTGTTAATATTAACAGTGAGCCAAGTAGGACGGCATCAAACGCTACCGGCCGATCGGGTCTCGTCAAAAACTTCGCTGGCTGAGGCTCTCCTGACAGCGGCGACGGACGTCGCGCCTGCAGTAGTAGAAGACACGTCCCAGGTATGAGGGCTGGGGATGAAAAGCTGCACATGGGAGTTATGAGATGAGGGAGCACGGGAGACGCGAGGTAAGAAGGCAAGAAGGATGTAACTTGTGAATGAGGAGATATCGGAGTCATTAATAGGACATTATTTGAGATTTAAAATGTTAACGTTGCTGAAACAGGATTCTTTTTCTCATGTAGATGGAACTTAACAGGCCAGGAAAATAAATGCACCAATTAAGTACCTAAATTCTAAGTCGTTAGTCTAAGATCGTTTCGAAATCGGAAATCGTACTTGAAATTCGTAAATTGTTAATCGTGGTCGTTGAATCGTGGTAAAAAAAAATAGACTAACGAATTGAGAAAGGTACTTGACGCATTTATTTTTGTTATCCCTCTCTTAGCCAGGGTGACATCAGTCCGACAATGACATGAGTGTGTCAAAAAAAATAGGCACTGATGCAGTCAAATTTTACGACGCTAATTTTTATTATAAAGTAGTCCACAAAAAATCATGGCCACGGCAGAAAAGAATACCGCTGGTGTGAAAAATAATGTCAACTTGCTCAAGTGATATTCGCACATAAGCTTTTTTTACGTGGATAGTGGAAGCTGTGGGCAAAGCTTGGCCTCCGATCATATACTGTACCTACCTTTTAAGTGAAACAAAACCACAAAAAATTTGCTGTAAGCTAGTTTATATTAGTATTTTAGACACAACCAATAATATAGAAGATATTATTTTCTGACCGGCGAGCCGTGAATGCCCAGTACCCATTGTAAACAGCGAGATCAGAAGAGGTCAGCCTGATGTCACCCTGTTGCCCGATGCCCGGCACGTGGAGCCGGAGGGATACGGCGGACATCGCCCTGGAGAGTCGTCACTTGCCGGTAAATAATTGTACATTTATTAGTCTTGTTATAGGAGCAGAAGTACATTTATTATCAAAGTTATTGCAAGCTTTTGCCGGTGTTTGACGACTGTCCAGAACCCATAATACCCTAAGCATTGGTATTATGGCCTAAACCTAGACCAACCTACCTACCTACCTATAGTGTTTTGCCACATACCTGTCTACCTGCATACCTAGCTCTCAGACTTATAAAACCAGTCACATGGTCCAGTCACCCTTTAACCCGCGCACCGACGGGGGGGGGGCGGATATCCGCCCCCCCCCCTGAGGTTTTTCGCGGATAGCGGGAAAACCGCGGCGCGTAGCGCCGCGAAATTTGGTATGACTATTCTCTCATCAATTTTACACATGGTGTGCAAGTTTGAACCTCCTAACTTTTAAGGTCAAGTCACCAGGTCACTTTGAATGACCCAACCTCAAGTCACTTTTTTGCAACTTTGTCACCGTGCCAGAGCTACAGTAGATGTCGGAGGCCTTTGAAAGTCGCAGGATGTTATTAGGTCATTAGTAGCTACAATTTGTATATCTCGGAATTTTGATGTCGGTGACCTAAGGTCAGGTCAATTTCGCGACCTCCCCATTATAAGTCAATGGGGGAAAAATCAACTCCCTGTTTTTACCACTAAAACGGGTCGGAATGGCCCCATATACCATACATGACTTCACATACGATCAACCTTCACTACCTTGAGGTCTGTTTTGCTGTTGGGCAGCTGTAAGGTCATGTGACGTCATCAAAGGTCACCAAAGGTTTTTTGCCAATAACTCCTTACAGGAACAAGATACAGCCGCGCGGATAGTCTCATTGTGTTCAGCTCGTCAAGACGCATCAAATGATATACATGATGACCTCGAGGTCACGTGACCTGAGGTCAACCTTTGACCTTGACCTTTCGAGGTCAACATATATATCATTCGATGCGGATCGACGAGAGGATCACGATGATGCCCTTAGTTTGTTCCTATCTTGACTACTTCGAAAGTTATTCGAGAAAAACCCTCTCCATATCTAGCGCCGCCATTTTGACTTTTTCGACCCCTGTGACGTCATCTTTGACCTGACCTGAAAATGACCTTAGTAAAAATTGTAGACCTTGTCCGTGCGTATCCGATGCCGTTTACCGCTTGTCGCTATCTTGCTTCGTTCTCGAGATCTCAGGGGGGGGGGCGGTCATCCGCCCCCCCCCCCCGTCGGTACTAAGTTGGCGCAGACCCCCGTCGGTGCGCGGGTTAATAACACTTAAATTCATTCATGTAATTTCTGTGGTGATCAATAAACGAATGGGCATCATTTACTTTAACCAAAATTGAATTCAACGATCAACATTCAATAAAAACCGAAAAATAAGTTAACAGACAAACAAACACACCATGAATAGGTACACATCGCATTATAGACACTATGCATCCCATATTAGTCAGGATCATCCAAACAACTACTCAGAACTTTATAAACCATTCACTATGTGGATACAGCTACTGAAGCATTTAACTGACCTTTCGGAGAAAATCATGACACGCGGAAAAAAATGTATAATTTAAGTGCAGTACGTCATACCTACACGAAGAAATGATAATTCTACGTTGGGATAGTTTAGTTAACACTTATTTTTAGATATACTTCATGCTTTACGGTTAACAATACATCACATACTCTAATCGCAAGACTAAATAGACCAAATAGCTTAGACCGTCTCCAAATAAAAAAGCTATGCAACGGTTATCAACATCGCTGAGCCTTATTTCAGAAGTCCATCTCTACACAAATACCAACACACGGAAGGCATCTTCGAAATAAATTAACGTGATCAATAATCATCCATAACATCAGTGTCCAATTTAACTGAACACTCAAAGCATGTTAAACAAATTGATAATATAAATTTACCCAATAATTTAACAATAAGACACACGCATCATAAACAGCTTCACAATCTTAACGACCAAAAGTGACATAAATCATGTCAGCTTTCATGTTTATATCCAGGAAAAATAAATGCAAACCAATGAAATGATTCAATGTGCAGGGACACTTGAAAATGATTCACGTCCAAAACGATTAAATACACAAATATACGAACCTTTTTTCCATTTTTTCATCAGAAAATTAATTCTACATGTATCTTGAAAAAGAAATTGCTTCACTAAGCACTTAAACCCGTTCGCGCCGGAAAAACACACTTTAAAAAGATTTTGAAAAATATTTGACGAACGAAACTCGCCTGCAACCGCTAATGCTCCTTTGCAAAAATGCGCGAGCGCCAATCGGTGCAAAGCATGAAAGTAAACGTTAAATCAACGCTGGCAAACTTGCGCAAAAAATCGGTAGCCCTCCCATATACTTTTTCTGTAATTCACTGTTAAGTGATGTTCAATTTACGGTCATTTTGATTACTTGTTGTTATTTGGTATATCCATGTTTATGTGTGTGGTGCGGCTAGCTGGTGAATTTATAGTAGCTACTAGCTATGACATACCTAGGTACACGACAAAACATAGGATCCACACAAATTTAGGGGATCAAAACACGAATCAACACATAAAAACATTTTCACACAAATATATGTCGATAATTCAGAGCAACGATGGGCTATCTTTGTGACAGTACCTACGTACCATCCCTGAAATACTGACTTGTTAGGTCACTGCCCAGTGCTCACTGCTCAGCAAGCATACCTACCTTCCCCTTTCTTTTCCCCTTTCCTCTCCTTTCGTTAATGGGAACATTAACAAGAGCAACAGCTTTGGGCATTGTCGGAGGTCTTAGCATTTATGCTGACATATTTAGTTAAATGCAAGCATGGTTTCGTTTTTGTTCAAGTCCGTTATGTAAATACGTACACTAACTTTCCAGGCATAAATGGACAAAAGAAGAAATACCAGTCTAGAGCTTCTGACAACGAAACGCTCCATGCACGGTCCATTGCCTAGAACGTTCAAATGAAAATACCAACCAAATAAATCGATTTAAAAGTAGCACCTAAAATATCAGGCTACTTTTGACTAAATTACACCAAATGACACAAAAGAGACGAGCTCTTCAAATCCACGCATTTGTACGGAATAAAATGTTTTGTACTTAGCGGAGCCTACTGAGTGCACTATGACATAGCCATTGCATAATGACTGTTCAAATGAATTGTTTGACTGTTGGTAGCCTCTAGAGGCAGGAAGTTTTTATCATTTCGTTAACTCAGATAGCACCCAAAGTGCCAACAAAAAACAACAACAATAAAAAACGATACAACATACAGGCCCTCAAACAATAAACTATACACTCCCGTAATACCTAACTTAACTTCTAATACAATGAGCTGAGACATGGTACCACATAAATGATAAATTAAGTAGAAAGCTTTCTTACCATGCTGAGCTGTCTTACCATGAGCGTGTCCAATGTCGTCCATCAAAGTCTCTATATCACTTACTGAATAAATCAACCGCGTTAGAAATATAACTTAAAGATAAAATTGCGCAAAATTACGGCAACTGCTAACACCTCTGGTGGCTTGCTCATACGTAAAATAAAAACTCTCAGGAAAACCGACGGCTCAAGGAAAGAAGCTAAATGAATCGACGTTTTAAAAATGGAGGATATGGACTAAAGGTTCCTCTGCGAGTATGCGAGTTGCCGTGTGTGTCTGTGTTATATGCTGACATCTGGCTAAGTACGTGATAATCACTTGTGAAGAGAGGCTTAGTGCATTAATAAAGATACAAATACCCACCTCAGATAATTACGCAATCCATATGAATTAAATTAATCAGTGTATTTGTAAAGCAGTGAGATACGATATAACTTCAGTTAAAACCACCAGCAGCAGCTCAAACATCGCATAATTGGTAAAAAAGTAAGCAATCAGAAATTAAGAATGTACCCTCGATAAAAAGCGAAGCTCTGCCGTTCTTATAAATCACACAAATCGTGCAAAAAAAACGAAACAAAGCACAGGTAAGGCAAAAATTAATGTTCACCTAACGGCAGGTGTTTTACTTCAATGGTTTAATCGTTAAAAAAACTTTTTGTTTTACTTATTTACGGACCCGAGTCCCAACCTATGTATAGCAAAGTATACAGAGGTCCAGGTAATTGTTGTCAATGC